AACTTTTTTAATTGAAATTTTAATGAAAATTTATATAGAACTTGGATTTCCATTAATTCATTGTTGCCCACCACCCCCTCCCAGTTCACTTTTCTTTTGGAAAATAAAATTATTTTCTTGTACAATTCCCCCCACCCCCACCCCAGGCCACTTATTCTGCTCTTATTCTGGACTGTTGTCATACAAATAATACCTAATTATATATTCCTTTTAGCAGTTCTACTCCTCATATATTTCAATCCAGTGTACATTCTTTAGCCCCTCTTTTCCTAGTTTCTCTCCAACCCTCATGGCAGTCTGTTTTAAAACAGTGACATTATGTAGTGTTTGTCCTTTTGTGACTGAGATATTTCACTCAGCAAAATGTCCTCCAGGGTCACTCATTTTGTATAATATTTCATGAGTTCCTTGTTTTCAGTGCTGCATAGTATTCCATTATGTGGATATACCTAGCTTCTCTATCCATTCATTTGCTGATACACACTTGGGATGTTTCCATCTCTGTGCTATTGTGAACAATGTTACCAACAAACATGGGTGTGCATATATTTAAGTTAATAATTTTAAAAGCCTCTGTATTCTGTGTTTTGGCTTTTTTAATTGTGGTAAAGGTATATGTAACATTATTTGCCTTATCAACATTTTTCACGTGTACAGTACAGTAGTATTAGTTTTGTTTATCAAGTTGTTCAACCATTAATATAATCTATTTCCAAATTTCCCCGTTATCTTAATGAAAACTCAGCATTTCCTAAGCACTTAGCCCTCCTAATTCTCTCTTTTCCTACTCCTAACAATTACTATCAAGCTGTGATCTCTATACATTTGGCTATTCCATATATTTCATATAAGTGTGATTATATGACATTGGTTCATTCTGCCTAATTATTTTACTTAGCATAATGTTTTCAAGGTTTATCAAGATAATTTTCAGAGAGACAAGTGGACAGACCTATCTGCCATGTGTGGAAAATGTTTCCCTCTTTCACAAAAGATATACATAAGTGGGGCAAGTCTAACTGAAATGTGTAAAAAATGAATCCAGCTCTCCCAACTGGTAGGATAAAAGCAGGATGTGAGGCCTTTACCCTCCACTCCACCTTCACTAATTCTTAGTCCCTGTCAACCTTCTCACATTCTAGCATGAGTTTGGCAGCTCGGAATTGGGGGAACCCTAAGAGAGAGGCCAGAGTTTATCCCCACAACAAGCAAAAGAAAGGTGACTTCTCCCCGCACTGGGGTATTAGTGGCAGCCATTCTGGCTCCAAGGAGAGATTATCAGAAGTTAACAGCTGCTGGTGAATGAGAGAAGAAAAAGGCACACCCGTAGGAAGGATGCTAGAAAGACCTCCCCAGCAAAGGCTATGACACCGAGCTCCTCCAGACAGCTGAGGCATCTCTTCTAGAAGGAAAAAAAAAAGTCTTGGTTCAGGAGGATTCGATGCTAGCTGGCCCTGTGCAGAAAAGTAGACAACTTGATATCTTAAGTACCTAGCTAGTCACAACCAACCAGCCAACTACCACCTCATCAATGCTGGCTCATGCAGACCTCATGTGTGTCAGAGAACTGTGCTCCATGGGGTTTCCAAAGGCACTGACTACACGGTCAGCATGGTCTTATGGAAGTACCATCTTTTAGCATATCTTTTCTTCTAAGGCATCTCTGGGTGAACTTAAACTGCTGACCTCTCAGCAGTTAAACACATTAATTGGTGGCACCACACAGAGACAGAGCTGCAAGTGGTTTCAAACATAGTATAAGAGCAGCCTCGGTTAGCACTGTAGGCCATGGAGTTCCCCCCTCATTCAATAAATGCTTATACTGGGCCTGGAATAGGCACATTTGCTCCCAACTCAGCCTCTGCCTGAACCTGACGCTGTGCCTCACCTCTGTAGCTGTTCTACGGTAACAGCTCACATGAAAGCAAGTCATTTGTCAGGAATTTGTGGAAAGGGCTCTCGTGATGAGGCATATAAAATGGCATGATTCTGACATCAGGGTGGGGGTAAGACTGAGAAAAACTGGATAAATTATGTGTACTGCATTGAAGCCAATGAGAGGGAGAATAGTTTAAAAGTAATATATTTTAGAGCATTATGATTATCATAAGAGTCTGGAATGACAGTTGCAGAGCGGAGTATACTAGGGGTGGGGGTTGCCGGGTGATTGTACACCAATAAAGGAGTTTTTCCTTTTGCTTTTCAAGGAGAAGAGCGAACTGGGGGGATGGGGGGGTGGGCGGGGAGAATAGTGCAACAATGAATGAATGGAAATCCAAAATCTCTGTAGATGTTCATTGAAATTAATTTAAAAAAAAAAACTGTAACCTGTTTAAATATTTTCCCTCTTTTTGTCATATAATAGATGTATTTTATGTGAAAATAAAGAGTGGAAAATTTAGGAGATTTATGTGGACTGAGCTTTTGTATGATATTATACTTTACAAGAAGATTTTTTAAAAAAATGGCCTGAGTGTGAAATTTGGGCAAGAATAGTTCTGTTCCACCACTTATTGAATACCTTTTGGACTCTTAGAGGAGACAATCAGAAGAAGGAGGAGAAGAGTTCTAGACACACCGGAAGGAAATAATCTGACACTCTTTCCTGACATGTGAAATAGTCACACATGGGTGATGCCAGAAGCAGACTCACACCTATTGCAATTATGGAAGGGGGTTAAATGGGAGTTGAAGAGGGAGATTTTCTAACTGGTCATCTCAAGCTGGTATGGTGGAGGGGACAGTAAAGCATCCTGTCTTGGAGTAAAGGGACTTGGAGGAAGCAGTCTACACTGGAGATGTTAACACTCGTGCAAAGCCAGATCATCAGGAGCTTCTGAAAACAACAGAGGAGTGTGTGTTATATACACAGGGACGGGGCGGGCACGCATCATGTGGGAAGAAATTATGCTGCTCAAGACAGCCTGGCAAATTGCAGTAGGTTATGAGGTTGGATTTGGTCCACTTCTCCCTAAAGACCCACCCAGAGTTTCTAGTCCTCCTCCTGCCCATACACCTTTACTTCACTACCAATGTGATTTTGTGTAAATACCATCATCAGCATGTTGCTCTTCTGCCCAGAAAATGACTAGCACCCTTGTTCTGGCTGAATGAGTTCCTCTCCAGATTGCTCATTCCCTCTCAATTCAGCCTCCCTTTTTCTTTCCCTTTGCTGCTCACCACGTTAACGTTAGGGCCCTGCCACTCCAACCAAGTCAATCTTTCCATCAACTTACTCACAAAATCCCCAGATTACTCCTCCAACTTCTCTCCATCTGCTACTCAATAATGTAACAGGCTACCTTGTAAAATGGTGAGCTACTCACCCCAGGAAGAACTCAAGAAGAGGAAGCATGACCTCTACATCCAAGGATGGAAGAGTAGTTGTTGCATAAAATCAGGAAAGTTATGTATCGTGTTGTGTCCTTTCTCTATACATCGAATCTGTATGCTGAGCAAAAAAGCATTCAAAAAGCTAAACTCTAGGAAGAAAAATGTAGCATCAGGATCAGAGGAAGACTCATCAACAGCCTGTGTTACGTAGATGATACAACCTTGCTTGCCAAAAGTGAGAACTTGAGATGAAGGAGATTGAAGACTAAAACCTTCAATATGGATTGCAGCTC